TTTTACATGTTTGCTCTCTAGTTTATTGTGCTTATGTGTTATGTATTCATATTCAAAGGCCTGTTAAAATGTCAAATCAGTTCATATTTCACATCACCCAATTCCAGCTCATCCTTTTATGGAGGTTCAAAAGGCAATATACTAATAACACATTATGCTGTACCTACCATGTACCAGGTGCTTATGTCACTTCTATTCTCTAGGACAACCTGAACTATCGGTATTATTCCCTTTTGAAGGATGCAAAAACTGAGCCTCAGAGGGGTTTAGCATCTTGCGTTAGGTCACAGAGTTCAGGAAGTGTAGAGCTCTTGGACCCCATTTAACATTTCCTCACCAAGAAACCTTTCCTCGTCCCACATGACAACCCCTCAGATCTTTGAAGATGCCATGAGCTTTGCGTCGTTGCTCCTTCAGAAGTGATCTCTCCTAGTTCCCTAAGGCCTCCTGTGACCTGCTCCCTTCTCCACTCTGGTCACTCTCCTCTGGACAATCTCTGGTTTGCCAGTGTCCTTTCAATCGAGTGGCACAAAACTCAGCATTTTAAGTTCTCATTTTTAATTGTTGTTTATTTTACAATAACAATTTGCACTAGACTGCATCTAACACTACAAAATCCTAGTGAGAAGTTTTTATAAACAATTAAAAAAACCAAGTTGGTGACTCAAAATGACCAAATAGAGTTTATTCCATGAATACAAGAATGGTTTCACATAAAATATTCACATAATTAATGCAATCTATAATAATAAAAGCACAATATGCTAACTAGACTGGACGTCCTTTCGGATGACCGTCTGGATGAAGCCAGAGCTACAAGGGAAGCCCAGGTCCCGGGCGCCAGAGGGAAGCCGGTGTCAGCAGTCAGGGAAAGGAAGGCCTACTCTTGCATGAATTTTGTGCATTGGGCCTAGTTAACAATAAGCAGAAAAATCATGATGTCTGTTTATGCTAAAAAGGCATTTGATAAAATGCAATATGTATTTGTAATTTTTAAATGCAATGAAACAGTACTAGAAAGATATTTCCTTAACATGATGAAATAATATATTTGTGAAAATATATGTACTTACTTCTCATGTATATAGCCTTCTAAGTGCACATTACACTTAATAGGAAAATGCTAAAAGCAATTCTTTAAAAATTAGGGTAACAAAGATGTCCACTATCACCACTATTAAACATTATTTTGGAGAAACTAATATAATTCCTTTAATGTTAATCATTTTTAAACCTGGAAAGCTTAAGAATCAATTTAAAACTATTATAAACAATAAGAGAATTTAATAAGATTTAGGTATAAAAATCAATAATAGTAATATAAGAACAACAGTCTGTTAGAGTTATTACAGAAAACTAGACCTCATTTATAATAGCAACGGCAACAATGAAGATAAAATGCTTACTGAATAAATCTAATAATAAATGTGTGAGATTATATGAACAAGTTGCTGAGGGACTCAAAGGAAGATATAAACAATAAAAAAAAAAAACATATTTTTTGACAGAGAGCTACCAGGAATATAAAGATACAAAGTTTTCCTCTTTAAAAATCTATAAATTTAGCCGAAACCGATTTGGCTCAATGGATAGAGCGTTGGCTTGGGGACTGAAGGATCCCAGGTTCGATTCCGGTCAAGAGCATGAACCTTGGTTGCGGGCATATCCCCAATGGGGGGTGTGCAAGAGGCAGCTGATCAATGACTCTCTCTCATCGATGTTTCTAACTCTATCTCTCTCTCTTCCTCTCTGTACAAAATCAATAAAATAAAATAAAATAAAAAGATGTTATCTAAAAATCTATAAATTTAAAGCAAGATCTTTTAAAAATAATACCAATAGAATTTTTTATAGGAAATTATTAAATTGGTTCTAAAGTTCATATGGGAAAAATAAATAAGAATAGCTAATAATATTTTGCAAAGGAAATGAAACAAAGAAGGACTAACTTTGTCAGGTATTAAAGTATTCTACAATAATTTAAATAGAGATATAATGGCATATGAATGGACAGAGAGATTAATGGAACAGAAGTCCAGATATAGCCACTGTAATATGTGTTAACATGTGTGTATAAGTATACACATGTATGTATGTAGCCACATGTGTGTATAAATGTATACACATGTAATATATACACACATATACATGAATACTTAGTATCTGATAAAGATGGCATTTCAAATTAATAGATAAAAGATGAATTTTTAAAAGTATTATCAGGATAATCTAAAAAAATCTATTATGCCTCCACATGACTTACACAAAATACATTCTAGAAGGATCAAGGATTTAAATATAGCATCAAAGTTTGATTGTGTAAAATGAAACCATAAAAGTTCTAGAAGAAAATAAAGAATAATATTTATAAAACATCACATTCAGAATTCCTTAGCTATACAAAACCCATAAGGGGTTGACAAAAACAGAAAATTGTTGACTGAAAAAACAACAAAAATGGCAGAAAATGGCAAAATGTTTTATATTTGTGATAAACCTCATAGATAAACAGTTTATATACTATATAATAAAAGCCTAATATGCTAAGTGTCTGGTCATCCAGTCATCTGTTCAATCAATCAAAGTGTAATATGCTAATGATATGCTAAAGCCACTCACCCCTTCACTATGACATGCACTGGCCACCAGGGGGCAGACACTCCGACTGGTAGGTTAGCTTGCTGCTGGAGTCCAGCCAATCACGACTGAGCAACATGGGCTGGACATGCCCTGGAGCCCTCCTGTGGTCCCTCCCCTGCTGGCCAACCTCCCGCGTCCCTCCCTATCCCTGATCATGCACCAATGGTGTCCCTCAACCTGGCCTGTGCCCTCTCACAATCCAAGACCCCTCAGAGGAGCCTGTTTTGGCCTGATCCTGCAGGCCAGGCCAAGTGAACCCACTGGTGCATGAATTCATGTACTAGACCTCTAGTGAATCAATAAAAACATTAGAAAAAAAAGAATTTCAACACTTCATAAAAAGAAAATATAAATGGCTTTTATACACAGAAACAAACTCAACCTTTAATAAAATATAAGAAATGCAAATAAAATAATGAGATACCATTTTTAAAAAGACATTGATTGACAAAGTCAATTGTTTTCTAGCTCACATGGTTGCCAGGGACTTGGGGAGACAATTGCTAACGTTGTGGCTGGTGAGATTGTACACTGGTGCAAGTTCCAGGAAGGGCAATTGGCAAGATTTAACCAAATTCCAAATTTATATTCTTGAGAACTAACAAGATCACTTGTAGGAATTTATCCCATGGATATACTTGCATTTTTTTTTTAATTTTTATTTTATTGTTTAAAGTCCTATAAGTAGTAGTACATATGTCTCCTTTTTTCCCCATTGACCTTGCACTTGTGCAAAATTCTGTATATATGAAAGGATAGTCATTGTAGCATTGTTTGTAATAGCAATGGATTAGAAACATCTGAAATGTCTTAACATTTGGGAATTGGCTAAGTAAACACAGAATGTTCCTATAATGAAATGTTAAAAAGGAAGATACACTTCTATATGTGTATTGAAATAGAACTTATTCCAAAACATATAATTGAAGAAATACATAAACAGATAAGGTGCAGACCAATGTGTACCTTATGTTACCATTAAAAAAATAATAACATGTAAGTAGACATATAGAATACTTGTGGATGAATACATGGGAAACTTGTAACATAGCAGTATTTAGAGAGATGAACCAGGGGATGGGAAATAATGGTATGAGGGAGACTGCAGACGTTTTCATGCTCTTTGAATTGTGCTTTATGTATGTATTAGAATCAAAGCAATAAATTAAATAATCATTTTAAAAGAGCAATGATTAAGTCAGTTCACAAAGGCATGGAGAAACAATTTTCCTTATTTTTCACTTTATTGGAGCTAGTTTTAGAAAACTGTCCATTTGACATTCCCATAAAAAGGATTAATAGGTTCAAACGAATCAATGTCTGTTTAGCTTTTTCTCATTTGAGCTTGTCAGATTTCAGATGAGCAAATTTCCTGGGAACAGAAAAAAGTATTTGCTTTGACTTGCATTCTGAAATGGGTCATTCCTTTAAAAAGTTGATTTCATCTGACATTGTTAAACACTTGAACTGCTGTTAGGTCATCTGTAGCCTGATTAACACTAATTGATCTATTGAATGGTAGGATGACTAATGCATTTTAGTTGCTCACTATAAAATCTGAGCTTGGCCAACATCCCAGGTTCGGGGTCTGAGATGAAAGGTGGGTATATGCTGGGATCAGAAGCATCTCTGTTGAATTAAAAGCCTGTTATCACCACCGCCCTCACGTTTGGCTCATTCTCAGAATCTGGCTTTTGGTTGAAAAAAGAAAAATGCAAGCCTTGCACAAACTTTAGTCTTGTGGGAGAACAGGAGGGTCACATTGTAATTGTCATTTGCTATCATGAAGAGTGTAATTGGTTTGATAACAAGAAAAAATGTTTTTCAGTGAAATGCCTAAAGGAGTGAGTTGTTATTCATCTCCCCAAATGGAAGATGTACCTGCTGCCTTGGAAAGCTCCCTGAACATAAACAAGCAGACCTCAGCATTTCTTCTTCTCCCCACCTTGTTTGCACAAAACATCTTTTTTCTTATTTTTATTCAATTCCAGGGTAACTTTTTTATTTTCTTTGCTTTAGATGAAAGTTTAGATCTTTAAAAAATAAGTTCTAGCCTGGTTGAGCATCGACCTATGAACCAGGAGGTCACGGTTTGATTCAGCTCAGGACACATAACCGGGTTTAGTGCTCAATCCCCAGTAGGGGGCTTGCAGGAGGCAGCCAGTCACTGATTCTCTTTCATCCTTGATGTTTCTATCTCTCCCTCTCCCTTCCTCTGAAATCAATAAAAATATTTTAAAAATAAACTAAAAAATAAATTCTAAAATTTTCCTCAAATCTAAAGGCATACCTTGAATAACAAATCATGCCTTCTCTTGCTGTCCTAACTGACTCTCATATTGATGCTTATTTGTTTATAGTAAAAGCTGGAGGGAAACGAATTTCCAAAAGACAAGAAATTGGCGTCTTGGAGAGACACACCAAAAAAGCAGGACCTGAGAAAACAAGGTAGGGGACTGCTTGATTTCTGTTCCTGTCACCTCGAGGAGTTTTCAGTGACTCTCCTTCCAGAAATCAGAGGCCTCCCAGTCCCCCTAGGCTTTTGCTAACCAGGGTTACAGACAGCCGCTAAGGTGGGATGTGGTGGGGGGTCAGGATCAGTGGTGATGCAGAATGGAGGTGGCTACTTTCTGTAGAATTCTTTCTGGGACCCCATCACTAACCCCACCCTTTCATTCTCCCACTCTCAGAGTCCAGCCCAGCTGTCTTGTACTTAAATGACAGAATCCTAAATGCATTCAAACCTGATGCACATCCCTTTATCCTATCTTCACATTAGCCTTTAAAATAGTGTCCCTAGGCTGCCCTGTTTTCATAGTATGCTTTCTGCTGAAGCAAATCTCCTGAATTAAAAATAAATGCTTTTTAGTTGTTGTTTTGAATGCATCCCTCAATTATTTAGAAACCATTCATGGCCTCTATATTTGGCACAGCAGGAGGGCCTATAAGATACTGAGGCTGGTTTCGCCCTGCCCGTTCCACCGTGATCTTGACACGCTGCACTATTCCTAGAGCTAAGCAGAAAGCTGTGGCTGCAGCAGACACGCACATGGCCCAGTCACTCTATGCCTTAGTGAAGGAAAACATGTGGAACTGACTTCTCCAAGTAATATAATGATGGTACTTCAGAGACTATTTCAATGTGGTTTCCATAGAGGAGTTGGTGAGTATTTGAAAGGAGTTGATTAGATGCCCAAGGTACCTCCTTAAGAGGTAAAATGGCAACCGTCTCAGAAGGAGAATAGGGAGAGACATAGATGATGGACTGTCTCTGCCTCTTTCGTATAACACATTTTTAGATCACTTTTAAAGTTTCCTTTCTGATTTCTGTGGAGGAGATAGTTTGAGGATATTTTCTACATTAAAATAAAATGCTCACTAGCCCCTTTAGCAGTGTTTGTTTCTCCCGAATCCAGAAAGTAGCCATCACATAAGAAAGCAACACTGTGAGTCCTCTCTGGCGACCCACCATGGGGACCAGCTCCTATTGTAGAATGGAGAGAGCACTCTTTGGATGATAATATGTGGTTGTTGAATCGCAAGCTGATTGATTTGGAAAGTGGACTCTTTCTGAGTTAAGCATAAACCCTGTTTATGTAGCACACGTGGGTCATGGGCTCAGCAACTGGGGTCATAGCTTGGAAATGACCTTCTAGTTGGCAGCCAGTAGACAAGACCTATTTCTCTGCACCTCAGTACAAAGGGGGCTTACTGTTAATTCCAATGTCAGCTGAACAGTGAAGGAAGAGGAGTTAGCTAGAGAGTAATAAAATGGTGATTGGACCCCTCTTTCAAAAATGTGATTTCTTGCCGAAACCGGTTTGGCTCAGTGGATAGAGCGTCGCCCTGCAGACTGAAGGGTCCCAGATTTGATTCCGGTCAAGGGCATGTGCCTTGGTTGCGGGCACATCCCCAGTAGGGGGTGTGCAGGAGGCAGCTGATCAATGTTTCTAACTCTCTATCCCTCTCCCTTGCTCTCTGTAAAAAAATAAATAAATATATATATATATATATATATATATATATATATATATATATATACACATACACACACACACACACACACACACATATATATATATACACACACATATATATATATGTGTATATATATATTTTAAAAAGCAATTTCTTTGTAATAGTCATTAAAAGATGGGAATTGGACTATGACAGATCATAAACAGCAAGAAATCAACCTCTCTCCCCATTTGTCAGTAATAGGTATAAATAGGTAGGACCTAAAGCTTATGAAACTTGCACGCCATCTTTAAAAGATAATAAGAGAAATTACAGTGTGAAATGGCTAGGGCCCTCCCTGTGCAGTGAGCGGAGGTGCAACCGCAGCGTCACCAGCTGCACCGTCAGTGAGCCCCTGCCCTCACCTCTGCTCCAGGAGTGTGTGCACGGGATGGGAGCGCCTTGTCTTCATGGACAAACAGTCCCCTTACATCGTCTTGGAGAATAGCTTTTGAAAAAATAGACCCTGGCAAATAAGTTTCCAGGCATCATCAATCTATGTCTGTTTCCTAATAACATGTACCAACCAACACAAACCATCCAGAAAAAGGAACAATGTGAGCACAGAGTTTCTGTCAAGAAATTGTACTGCAGGCTCGTCCCTGATTGAAACCCTCCTACAAAATAACCTGGCCTCAGAAGAAGCCAGACACAATAGAGTGTGTGCTATATCACTCATGTTATGAAGTTCACGAGCCGTCAAAACGAATCTATGGGGCTATAAGTCAGGGTAGTGGTTATCCGTAGAGGCAGCTGGTTAGACTAGTGTTTTAAGTATCTGGATATGTGCTAAGCCACGTACTGGTAAAAGGTGCACTTTTCTACGTATGGAATATACTTCAATGAAAAGTTCAAAAGCAAAAGTAATAATGAGTTGGCCTATAAGGCTTGTCGTGGCACGTGGGCACACGGAGGCAGGATTGTTTGTCTTTCAGATGTAGCCAAGCAGAGTGACGCTGAAAGGCCAAGTAGACCGGTTTCTGTATAAATCATTTAACCTCTCCAGTGGTTAAGTTTTCAGGTCCTGTATGAAGTTTCATTTCATCTTTTCAGTGCCATTGTGAATGTTGCCAAAATACAGACGATGGATGCCCTGAATGACACACTGGAGAAGGTGAGCTGTGGGTGAGATGCATCATGGGATACTCCCAGACAGTACTCCCCCAACCACCTGGCTGTGTGAGTGAGTGAGCCCATGACCACTGAGGTGTTTTCCAGCTCAGAGGATCAATGTCCTTTTGAAAGGATCTGCTCTCAGTCCCAAGAACATAAAGAGGTCTTGGCGAGAAAAATCGTTTCTCCCAAATCCCTAGTGTCCATTCAATAAATCATCTCAAAAATAAGATAGAGTTGAAAACCAGTTTGGCTCAGTGGATAGAGCATCGGCCTGCAGACTGAAAGGTCCCAGGTTCAATTCTGGTCAAGGACATGTACCTTGTTTGCGGGCACAACCCCAGTAGGGGGTGTGCAGGAGGCAGCTGATCGATGATTCTCTCTCATCAATGTTTCTAACTCTCTATCCTTCTCTCTTCCTCTCTATATAAAAAAAATCAATAAAATATATTAAAAAAAATAAGATAGAAAATAAAAAAAGAATCATGATACCAAATTGGCAGGACTTTACTTTGCCATCCCAAATATTTCCCAGACACATTGGCATGCTTTTATAAAAAGGCAGCCCACGTATCAGGAATTCTACAGTTTTTCCCTTCCTCTCCAGCACTGCCTTCCGGTGAGGCAGTGTTTGACTGGAGGTGAGTGCAGGTGGTGGAGGGTTACACAGTTTTTGGCTGGAAGAAGGCTGGGCATTGACTGGCTTTGTCCAAAAAAGTCTGTTTAAATAGGTGGTTGAACATTGCTATTGTTCTTTCTATACCATGGATTTCTTCTAAGTAGCTCAACAAACTAAGAAAACTTACCGGAAAGACAGTGGTTTGGTTTTGTATTCAGGAGTGTTTTCATCTACGTAGGTGAGCTGAATGAGAGTCCTTTTCTTATTTTTGGAGGACAGACACATCACATGTAAGGCAAGCAAGAGCCACTCTTTCAGCTGCGCCCACGTTTGCTGAAGGGACAGGACTGAGCATCCCTTATAAAAGGAAGACTTGTCATTACTGCCACCATTAGGGATCTGAAAAAGATGAGAACAGAAAGTGTGCTAGGCCTCTGAATCCCCATCTGGCACTAGCTCTTCCACTTACCAGCTGAATGACCTTGAGCAGGTCACGTATTCTGTGCCTCAGATTTCTTGTTTGTAAAATGGAGATAAGAAAGAAAATTTATCCACATGTTTCATTGTGTGGAATAAATGAGTTCACACAGGTTAGCTCTCAGAACGGTGCCTGGCACAGTCACCTGTTTGCACTGCACTCCGGGAAGTAGCATGGTTTCATGGCCGAGATGAAAAGGTACATCTGAAGTCCTGGGATGTTATGAGGCAGAGAATACAAGATGAAATCTTGATTATAGATGATAGCTACAGAGCCTTCTCATGTGGGGGGCCTGGTTCTCCATCAAATAGATATGAAGTGAGGTCATACGTGCCTCTTTGCCTTGCTGGCTTTACAAGAAGGGCAGGGGTGGAGGATGCCCTGCCAGGGCAACACTAGCTGCCCGCTCCTCCTCTCACCTTCTCTTGCACCTGCCCACTAAATGCCTCTTCCTCAATGGCAAGAGGATGCCACAGTTGTTGGTGAAAACGGATGGCACATTCCTCGAGACTATATGTGGTCAATAAAGTCATGCTATGTGTAGGTTTGATGCAAGGGTGCATATTGTGTGTGTGTGTTTTTTTATAGACCTACTAGAGGTTCAGTGCATGAAATTCATGCACTCAGGTTGAAGGGAGGTCCCTTAGCCCGGCCTGTGCCCTCTTGCAGTCCGGGAGAACCAGGGGAATGTCCCACTGCTGTGGAGGTGGGAAAGACTCCTACCTCCACCACTGCACTTACCATCCTTGAGCCCGAATTCTGGCTGAACAGCACCCCCCTGGTGGTCAGTGCATGTTATAGGGACAAGTCATTCTGCTGTTCAGTCAATTTGCATATTAGCCTTTTATTATAAAGGATATGCAAAAGTCTATGACATAGAAAGGTTCTTCCACTTTCAGTTAAAATACCAATTCTCTATTTCAAAGATAAAAAGGAGAGTCAAGTAACAACAACAATAATAATTGTGTTTGGAAAAGTAAGACAATAGTGAGATGGTGTACTGTTAGACATATGTTTAACAGCAACTATACATGTAGCTCAGTGTTTACTGGGGTGGGAATGTGGCCAACATTGTATAGATTTCTGCTAAAACAGGCTCTGACATCAGACATCAGATGCCTGGGTCATATGCCAGCTCTGTCACTCCCTAGCTGTGTGTATTGGGCAAGTTTCTTCACTTTCTGTGCCTCTGTTTCATCATCTGTAAGTGGGAATGTGATTAACAGTATCCACGTCAGTGTGATATTGTGAAAATAAAAGCAAGTTATATGACCCATGCAAAGTACCTAGCACAGAGGCAGGCACAACTAGACCTCAGTAAGTGTGACCTTCTAGTCCCAGGCAGATATCCTATATGGCACCATTTGGATTCCTGAGCAAGTGATAAGAGGCTAGAAAATCAAGTCCCAAGATTTCCATAGTGACTATCTCAAATATGGGAGTTAATGGGATCCACATATTTCCTTACAGCTAAGAAAAATCCTCCCTGAATCCATAATTCAACCTGACATGTAATAGGATTTCATAATAAAGGTCAACTGGGGTAAAAGACCAATGCCTTTTAAAAGATAGAGCTGCTGCAATCAGTGGTTGTCAGGAGCTTCACTGAGAGGAGGGGTTGACCACAAGAGATAGGAGGGAGTTTTTTTGAGGTGGGGAATGGTGGAATAGTTCTATCTTTTGAGTGTGATGATAGTCACAGACTCTATGTACTTATAAAACTGTGCACTGAAAAGGGGTATATTTTACTATAGAAAAATTCTACTTTGATTTTTTTTTCTTTTTGTTGTTAGTCCTCACATGAGGATATTTTCCCATTGATTTTTAGAGAGTGGAAAGGAGAGAGGGAATGAAGGGGGAGAGAGAGAGAAACTTTGATGTGAAAGAGACACATTGATTGGTTACATCCCACACATGCCCTGATCAGGGCTGGGGATCAAACATACAGCCCAGGAAAGTGCCCTTGACTGGAAATCAAACCCATGACCCTTCAGTGCATGGGCCAACATTCTAACCACTGAGTTATAGCATCCAGGGCTACACCTTAATTAAAAAAATAAATAAATATGTATGCCCTGGCTGATTTTTCTCAGTGGTTGGAGCATCAGCCCATGGATTGAAGGGTTCCCAGTTCCATTCCAATCAAGGGCACATGCCTGGGTTGAGGGCTTGATTCCCAGTGTGGGGCATGAAGGAGGCAGCCAATCAATGATTCTTTCTTATCATTGATGTTTCTATCTCTCTCTCCCTTTCCCTTCCTGTCTGAAAATCAATTAAAATATATTTAAAAATAAAATAAAATAAGTATGTAAAAGCTATATGGCTTATACCAAAAAATTAAAAGACATAAAAACAGCAATAAAGATAGTGACATCTGCTGATAAATTTTCACCTGTATTATAACGATGCCTTCCGCAAAATATATTGTCACAAAGACCTAATAATATGCAATTGATCAGAAGAAATACCTGCATTTATTAACATTCATTCATGCCCTCTGCTACAATTCAGTCTAGTTCCAAGAACCCATGTTAATTCTCAGATCAACTTAAGAACTTAGAGTCTAAGACTGTAAAAGTACAGCCCGACTCATAGGGTCTCAACAACCATTCAATCATGGTAGGACATTTCTTTCCTTATGCTGTTTATCTCAGGATACCCTACTTCAAAACCAACCAAGGGTTTAAGATTTGGGAGACTGAAAAAACTGTACAAATCTATCATAAGTGGAATTTCCCTTCCCACTATCTTCCCCATTCCTCCCTGCACACAGACCTCTGTCCACACTCTCTTTCCCCTTTCCTCCCCACCTCTCCAGCCCCAGATAATAACAGGATTCCTGTTACCTAGTGACAGACCATGTACCATGGTATTCCTGGCAGAAGACGGAGTTATGTAAGCTTGAAAACTCTAGGCTGAAACTCTAGGAGACCTGGTTTGAGACCAAATTCCACCTACTCCTTAGAGATTGTGTAAGCTTTTAGAAGTCCCATAGCTGCTTTGAGATTTATGTTTGCTCATTTACTTAATTTTTTTTAAAGGCAGGGATTGAGAAAGCATGGTACTGCCAAGTCTATAGCTTCTCAGGATGGTTTTGGAAGTTAAATTTGGCATTGGTTGTGAAGCCTCTCAACATGAAAGTATCCAGCTAAAACATCAGAACGGGAGTGTTATGGTAGGGAGGGGGTGGAAGGTTGAAGCCCAGTTAAAGTTGGGGCCACTTTTCAAGCCGCCAGATGCATCACCCATGCCCAAAGGAGAGAGAGAGATGTGTGTGGGGTCCTGGGGGAGAGGAGAGTATCAAAGGCATCTGCGGATCTAGAAAGGCTTCTCTGTTCCTGGATGAATGTCGCCGTAGGAGGAGCCTTGAATTTCATCGACTCAGACCGAATGTTTTGTTTTAAGCACTTTACTTAACGGGGTGTGGAAATCTAAGTGCTACGTTGGAAGTTAACAACCGGAAAGAGGAATGGAGGAGCTGCCCATCTGCAATGCTCCCTAACTTCAGGCTCTAAAGCAAAACCTGCCGCCAATTTTCCTGCATCTGGGATTTCTTTCACGGCTCTGATCCTAGAGACTTTCAAACAGACTTCCTTTGCTTTTCCTTTGAAACCAAAAATATAGGTTCTGAGGTCACCCCTACGCAAGAGGAAGGCGGATTCTCAATGCGGGTATTTCTACTGATCTGCTTTTTAAGTTCCGTGTGTTGGCCCTTATGTGGTGGAGCCACGGCAGGACAGTGTTCTCGCACCTATGCCAGCCTTGAATTCCCTCTCTTGTGGAGTTACCCTCAATTCCCTTACCCTCAGGACTCAGACAGGAAACACCTTTCATTCTGCAAACCTGGTCAGTTTACAAAGACGAGTGATGAAGAATCCCAGGCTTCCCTCAGTGGAGATGCCAGACTGAAGTCACAGCGGGCTGTAGGCGGCACTCTGTGGAGCTCTCCCTACTTATTTCTAGTTCAGACTTGAAAAATAAAACCTTTCTCTCCCCACTGATACAGAACCTAAACCTCAGAATTAGCACATGGAAGGACTGACTATTTTATTTACAGTTTCCATTCTAGTGGAAGACTCTTTGTAGATCCCCCCTACGCCATTAGGATGTTCCTGCTGGAGCCGTGGGTATCAGACATGGCGAACTTGACTCTCTTGTTGTATTTGCAGGGTATGGCAAAAGGAGGTTGACAATTGTTCGTATGGAAAAGTAATACAGTAATTAATGAAAAACAATACATCAACTGTTTCATGTACTCACAACTGTGAACCTACTTTTGCCCCATCCTGTATAAGTGGTGCTAGAGAAGCCTGTACTGGCCCCAGCCCACCCCCAAAACCTGTACATTTGTAATTTAATAATTATGAGCAGTTTCAATAAGGCGATTATCTTTGCTTGAATTGATGTCCACTTCCTTCTCAATCCTGTTGATTTCTTTTTCCTCCTAAACTTTCCCAAACCAGGCAGAGATGGCCAGTGAGCCCCAGGGGAAGTCTCTGCCTCATTCTGACCTGGGGCAATCCCCTCCTGAGAAGCAGCTGAGCAGAGTTTTTAGAACCTCAGTTAAACGTTGTGGTTAAAATGTGACCCCTAACCCTGTGCATTACTGATAAGATTGGAAAATGGTGCCATCCATGATGGACAATAGTGGTTGCCAGAAGGAATGAGGATTTATTGTTCAAGAGGTACACAGTTTCCATGTGGTATAATGAAGATTTCTGGAGATGGACGCAGTGATGGTTGCACAACAATGTAAATGTATTGAATGCTACTAAACTATACACTTAAGAATGATCAGAATTATATGTTGGGTATATTTTACAGAGAAAAAAATGTAAGCCCTACATTGTGGAAATAACCCTGGAGATGAATTAATGCCACATTAAGCATGAAGTGTGTTCCAGCAAACTCTCTCCTTTCCGCTTTGCTTTCCCACCTCCACCCATCATCACACTCGCACCTTAAAAACAACAATCAACACTGTGGCTTCCTCTCCTCAGTCTCAACTTGTCATCATGGGCCATCTCACATTGGCTAATTGCCCAGGTCTCTGTTATATCATAGTGACTTGTTCATTTCCTTTCTCACCAGCCCCACCCCTTTACCGTACATTTACATTTGACTTGAAGTAACTTGCCGGGTGGTTCTTCCTACCTGTAATCTCTTGAATGTGATTTAGAGCTAGCCTGAAATAATCCATCTGTTTTAGTTGATGCTAAAGACACCCAGTCTGGAAGAAAATCCCTGAAGTCAGTGACCTCTTAAGTTTCCTTCTGGTTCTAATGTTTAAAGAAAAACAAAACAAAGCACTCTGCCTTTACCGCACTATAAAATGCATGTCATGTGGCCTGATGATAACTGGTCTGACCAAAATAAAGGCTTTATTGCTTTATAGAAAGGATTTTTCTTCCTTTCTGCTAGAATGCTAGCATCAACCACCCTTGAGTTTAATTATTGTAAAAGAAAAATTTTAGAAAAATACTGATAGGCAAAATAAGGAAAAAGACTAGGAATTCCCATAATTCTAACTTTCAGAGATAACCATTGTTAATACTTCAGGTTATATTCCTCCAGTGTGTTTAATTTTTTAAGACCAAGAATAAAGGACTTTCTAGTGTCAAGTTTCACATGAAAAGAAATGCTGTGTGCCTAGAGCTCAGGGACATTTGAGAAGAGATATAAGGCACGTATGTTTTCCTGGCTTAGGAGAGTCCAAACAAACCATAAACAATGTGATGTGTGAGGTCATGATCCATTTATCTCTCCTTTTAGTTAATTTGAGTGTCAAGGCAAGGGCATCTACATCCAATGGTGATTAAGTTAAATTCCTAGCGAGCTGAAGCATTCCTTTTTTGCTTGCTAAGGAAGGTATCCGTAGGTGCCTTTATGTTTGTATCAATGGCATGAAAACTAAGAACCAGAGTAGCCCCAAAAGGTCACTGGGTCCAAACTCTCCTCTAGGAAAATTATATCTGAAGTCCTTGCAGCATTGGGCATCCTTTTGATTTTAAGCCATCCTTAATGTAAATTTCATAAGGTCTTTCGGTTCCATATGAAAATTATCTTATTGTCAAATATAGTCTCAGTCTGTGTTAACTTAAATCTACTTAAGCCTGTTTCCCCATACATATCTTCTGTGGAGATGACTAATGAGAACTTTTGGTACCTGAAGCTATTAAGTCATTCCTCAGCTTTCTTTTCATCAGGCTGTTTAAATTGAACCATATGAAACAGCCAATATTACACCTTTTTTGACCTCTTAAAATAGAAGTTTTACATGTTTCAATGTAATAAATAATCCTAACTCTTTCTAACTTCTTACAGAGGTTCTCTACTTCTGATCTTTTGACAACTGAGGGGCTCTTTCCCTGCAGGGCTTTCTCAAATGTTCCCGTAAGCTTCTTAGAATATAGTGATTCATACATGCATACTGGTGCCAAAATAATTGCTAATATTAGAAGACTGATGCAGAAATAATGAACCATTTCTACTTGTAAAAAATGTCACTTCAAAACAGACATAACATATGTATTATGTATATTATTTTAATATGATACATGTTATAGCTTTACAAATTAGAGATAAACAAATGAATAAAAATCCAAGTTAACATACTAAGAACCCAGAGCTGGAAGTGGTACTTCAATACTATCAAAGAAGTAAACAAAATTGTAAAATTTCCATGATCAACTGTGTTGCTTTCTACTACTTGAATACTTCACGGTCAAAAAGATCCAATATGCTTATTTTTTTTTCTTTCCTTCTCACATTTAGCTTAGCCATAAATTTCCAGCAATAGCGCACGTGGCACATCAAAAACCCAGACCTGCTCTGGAGAAGGTCACTCCAATGAGAAGGATCTACATTATTCAGCAGCCTCGGAAATGTTAAGCTGGGACGTAAAACACAGCCGTCTGCCCAACTGCCTCCAACATCTGACAGCTTAGCTAAAGGACCAAAACTTTCCTTAGGCTTAGTGCACTTGCTTGGTAAAAAAAAAAAAAAAAAAAAAAAAAAAAAAAAAAAAAGTCTTTGTATCTTCTCTTTGTATGTTAGATAATAAAGCATCCAAAAACTGTGAATGCAATGCATTCTTGGGCCTCATTTTGGTCCAGGACAAGATCCCATTGATAGTTACAGAAGAATTCTGAAGAATAAGTGGAGAATCCAGAAGACTCCTCTACTCTACCTCTTTGGACAAGCTCTCTTATCCTTGATGCTGACTCAGTTGTTCCACCCACAGCGAGTTCCCTAAGGCAAAGATTAAAGAAAAGTGTAGAATGAGTTTGGTGAAGACCAATCTTCTGTGCAAACATCAAGAGGTATTCTTCTCCGTGTGTTTGTCTCCAGCTGCTCAAGTTTTCACTTGAGGAAAAATGTCTTCCCATTTCACACATAAATACATGGCTTAGTGTGTGGGGGGATGAAAAATTAGATTCATTACAAACATATTCTCTTCTGCAAAGCAATTAAGGATGGAAAGTTGAAATATAGTTTCAATAGGAGATTTGATTAGGGTCTCCCAGAAGGTTCATTTTCTAAAAAGAAATAGATTATGCTGCTGCAGGATATTATGGTTGGGGTATAGAAGTTGATTTTAATTAGAGGTGAGGGAAAGTGTTGTCACAGCCAAACCTGCTCTAGCTCTCCTATCTTCCACAACACACACACAGAGAGAGAGAGAGAGAGAGAGAGAGAGAGAGAGAGAGAGAGAGAGAGATAGAGAGAGAGAATGAGAACATATACTCACATCAAATAGCCAAGGGCATCCTCAAGGGTTTCTAAAGAGGTTAGTTGCCACTCACAATCCCACCATTCTAAACCTCTAATTAATACCGCTATCCGTGATTCGGCACTTCTCTTTACCCAAGGTCAGGGCCAGCACTCTAGTCCATTATTTTACAGGTTGACAATTCTTAAAGTATGACTTGGTGCCAAGCCTGTTTCTGATTCCTGGAAATCCAAAGGCACCTGGCTAAGGCCCAATGGTCATAATGATGCAACCTACCTCCTCCCCTGTGTTGTTTGGATTTTTTCAGGAGTAAGAGAGTTTTTTGAGACAATATCAAGCCTCAGTCAGCGCCGGCATTAATCAATAAAACAGTCCCAACCACCTCCCACTTTCGCTTATCTCAGTTCTCAGTCTTCAGGGACTGTGGTCAGGAATATCCCAGAATGGTAAGTGTTGCGAGGCAAATAAATGCACAGAAGTTCAAAGTCAGCCACCATTTCCCCACAGTAGCAAAGTATAAACCTGACTGTGGATGCTAGCTGGACCACTGAGTTGAGATTAGGAGACGCTTCTGACCCTTCCAAAGTTGCCAACCTTATGCACGCTACTCAACCTTTCTCATCCTTGTCAAACAAGAATAACAATATCTGACCTCCAGTTTAACCTTCCAGTGGCATACTGAGAAGACAAGTAGACTACTCTTTAAATGGCTTATTGGATTTGCAATAAGCTTATTGAGATTTACAATAAGCCACTTAAAAAGTAGTGAGAGCAAGGTGGTGCCAGGATGGCTGCTCTACAAGCTGACAGGATTATAGTAGTAGAACTATAAGAGATAGTATAAGCTGAGCCTAGAATAGGAAAGTTAAGGGAAAGCTAAAGATTTGGCTAGACAGAAGCAGGAAGAAAATGGGAAGCAAAGGTGGCAGCACTGCTTCATTCCACTTTCCTGAGGGTAAGAATAGGCCAACCACCCAAAGGAAGTGAAAAAGAGAAGAAAGCACCATCCTCTCTGTCAGAGATGGAAGATGTATTGTAGGGGAAGAAAGGCTGCTTGGGAGCCTATCCAGTGAGGACCCCAGCATTAATTGAGGTCTACAATTTTAGTCATTTAAATCACCAAATCATGGAAAGTAAGAGGTTGAGTGTGGCGGAAACTGGTTTGGCTCAGTCGATAGAGCGTCGGTCTGCGTACAGAAAGGTCCCAAGTTCAATTCCGGTCAAGGGCATGTACATTGGTTGTGGGCACATCCCTGACAGGGGGTGTGCAGGAGGCAGCTGGTCAATGTTTCTCTCTCATCGACATTTCTAGCTCTCTATCCCTCTTCCTTCCTCTCTGTGGAAAATCAATAAAATATATTTGAAAAAAATAATAAAAACAAACAAAAAAAAATCCTTTACAAAAAAAAAAGTTGAGTGTGAACATATATGAATGGAAATTGGAGTTATCTTGGAGAACTTATCAGGAGAAAAAGGATTAGGCTGATAAGAGAACTATCTAGTAACATGACCGCATATGTAGAAAGCCAAAGGGGCCATTCCCTCTCTCTCCTGAGGAACAAGCCCTGCATGTGCCATGGTTCCACTCAATGATAAGCCCCCTGTGATGTGTTCACAGGCCCAGAAAAGCCATGGCATTGGGAGAGGGAATGTCACTAGTGGCATGGCTACAGATTCGCTGGCAGATCCTCTTCTTTAGCTCATTTCTTTTCAGTTCAAGAGACTCTGTGCTAGGCACTGGGACACAAAGAGGAGGAAGACACCATTCCTGCCCACCAGGCGCTCTTAGACCAAAGGGAAGTAGGCATGCCAACAAATCAGTACAGGAGGAACTTTAGGAATGAGTTGGTTGATGGGTGGGTGGGGAACATGCTGAGGAAGAGGGTCATGAAACCACCCAAGGTTCATGTAGAGTCCAAAGAAAAATGATGGCTATACCAATCAATAACCCACATGCAGCTCTTAATAAACATATTTTAACTAAGCTTTTAATGGAAAATTTAAAACATACACAAAAGTTGACTGAAAATTATACTGAACCTTCAGGTGCCCATCACAGAGCTACAAGAATGTGGACAATCTTATTATATTTATGGTGTCCAGCCTCCTAGTTCCTCTTCTTTGTTCCTCTCCCTTCTGGATTACTTGAAAGCAAATCCCAAACATTATAGAAACACTTCAGTATATGAGCTCCAAGAACTAAGCACTTGTGAGTGCACATTCTATCTCTCTCTCTAAACTGAATTTTATAAATATTGTGGGGGGAAAAAAGGGAGTATTTCTGTAAACCATCCAAGAATCTTTCACCATAAAAGGGAGATGGGGATTGCTATGCTAGCCACAAGAGCCAAAAACAAAACAAAACAAAACAACTCACACACAACACACACACAGCTGAGCCAGTAACACACACACACACACACACACACAGAAATGACTGCTGGGAAATTTGAGAAAGCAGGGGAGCTAGAAAATGGTGATGCTTTCAGGTTGAATGAAAGAAAAAGGTAAACAAAGCTATTGGAATTAAATAAAAGGTACAGGAAGAACACACTAGGGAAAACGAGCTTTTACTGAGAAAACGGATATAGAGAATATTTAAAAAGTTATTTATGAAACCACTCAGACAAAACGGGGGGTAAGATAGGAACAAAAAGAGATAAATTAATGGAAAGAAAAACTAAAATTGATTTATTCAACAAACATTTATTAGGTTCCTCTTGTGTAATGAATTTTATTCAGAAACCCAAAACCAAGGAAGATAAGGCTGGCTTTTGTTACATATTATGTTTTAATCTGAATGTCTAGATGTCAGCTGCAGTTACCATCCCTTTTAAATAGGTAAGATAAGCTCAAATCACCATCCTCCCCTAGAGGATGTTCAAAGGCCTCCTACAATGTCTGTGAATCTCCAAGAGCGTTACATTGTCATGGTCATCTCTGATTTCCAACAAATTCATTCATTAATTGTTGTCCCTGTGTCCCACCATCCTGATCTGGAGTTAAAATTTAGCCCTTTTCCATGGTTTCCCCAAATGTCTACTCCACAGATTTTAGTAGAGAGTTTACATCAAAGTAACCAGACAACTTATAATAGGATATTAAATATTCTTGATTTTATATGTATGTACTTATTCCATTACTTCCCACCCACCCACAAAAAAAAACAACAAAAAAACAAAAAACCCACAGGATTATATGCATCCCTGGCCATCCCTTATTCCTCACACCATCTTATTGGATACTTTCCTCCTCCTACTCTCCCTTTTCTCACTTTTCTCCATTCCTCTTTCTCCTAATACCTGTTCAGTTCCAAATAAACAATTAGTGTTTCTTGGGTTGTCTTGACTCCCAGAAAATGATATCCTCAGGAAGTCACCTTACCCCAAAATAGTCTCCCTGAATCTAGCAAGTCAAACTTCAGCTGTCAGGATGTCAACATTTTCATCCAAATAGGATGGAATGGATGAATGATTAGTTGATTGATTAATTAAAAGGAGAAAAGTGACAAAGAACCCAAACCAAGAAAAATGAGGAAACAAAGGAAAAAAGAGAACTTTAGCTTAGCCAGCATGGCTCAGTGCTTGAGTGTTGACTTATGAGCCTGAAAGTCACGGTTCATCCCTCGTCAGGGCATATAACCGGGGTGCCAGCTCGATCTCCAGAATGGGGCTTGCAGAAGGCAGCCAATCAATGATTCTCTCTCATCATTGATGTAACTATCTCTCTCTCTCCCTCTTCCTATCTAAAATCAATAAAAATATTTTAATAAAAGAGAGCTTTCATAGGAAATGTTGAAGGACTGAAAGAAAAACACAGACACAAAATTAGGGTGAACAGAGCTTCACCTAAAAATACATAAATACAGTGTATATAGAATTGTGAACATGATTTTGCATACAGCATTTCATGAAATCTTCGCATGAATCATGCAAGGTGGTAGCTATAATTATGCCATTTTACAGATGAGAAAAATGAACCTCAGAGAATTGAGGTTCCCAAGGTTTTACAGCTTATTAAAAGGAGAAACTTATATGGAAATTTTAAAAATGTTTTTGTTTGTTTTTTATTGATTTCAGAGAAGGAAAGAGAGAGATGATGAGAGAGAATCATCGATAGGCTGTCTCCTACACGTCTCTTACTGGGATAGAGCCCATAAGTAACTTGGACATGTACCCTGTCAAAGAATTGAACTGTAACCTCCTGGTTTGGGGGTTGATGCCCAACCACTGAGCAACACCGGCTGGGCATCCCTAGTAATCTTTTA